AGTGCTGATTATCAGATGGGGGGTGGTGAGCCCGGTGGGGTCAGAACAAGGAGGGGCTGAGCAAACAGCATCCTGAGAGATGCGGGGCGGGGTCGCGCTCCACCCGAGACCCCCAGACCCCACAGCTCCCGAGGTACAGATGCCACGGGCAGGTCTCTGTCTTAAGGACGCACCACGCGGAAGGAGGAAGCCACACAGATGCAGGACTAACAGGAAACCGCAGCGTGCACGCAGCTAAAGGAAGGTGCGGGGACATCACCACGGCGCTGTCTGCCCTGCTTCTCAAAGACAGGCACAGGGGAGCAGCCTGCCCACAGACCTGTGGGTACAGACACCAGCGGCTTTCCGGGGGGCGGGGCCGGGCCCCGGGCAGATGCCCAGTAAACCCCCCTGAGGGTCCGAACGGGGAGAGGTGGCCATGGTAACAGGGACACAGGTACAAACGGGCATAAAGAAAAGACCTGCAAACACCGTGTTCATCCATTTAAGGAAGAAATTCAAGGGAGGCCGCTGGTAGTCCGGTGGTTAGGACTTGGTGCTTTTTTTTTTTTAACTGCCGTGGACACCCGGGTTCAATCCCTGGTTGGGGAACCAAGATCCTGCAAGCCTCAAGGCCAAAAAAAGAAAAGAAGGAAAGGATCTTTTAGCAATGACAGAGTCCAACCCCTAACTTCTAGATGAGGAAAGAGATGCGGGCGGCCAGCAGTCCCCGCCTCAGTGGGCCGCTCAACACCTCACCATGAATTCCTCCTAAAACCTGGGGCGAAGCTGCTCACGTACCAGGTCTCTGCTGCCTGATCAAGGACTCGCTGAGTGCTGGGGACCAACCTGAGTCCCTCCACCCACACTCACACACTGAGGGCCTAGCCTCCAGCATCTCAGAACGTGGGAGGCAGGCTTCTCATGACGGGTCATCAGGGTGGGGTCCTAAGTCAATTAGGCCAATGCAGATCCTGTCCTTATAAGCAGAAGAGGTTTCAGAGACACACAGGGCCACCAGGGGTCCACGGGCACAGAGGGACCACCCTGTGAAAGGGCATCAAGGGGGGCCCAGCTGCCAGCCAAGGAGAGGTCTGCGAGGAAACCGTGCCCGCTGGCACCTTCATCCTGGACTTGCAGACTCCAGGACCGAAGGGAAAATAGATTTCTGCTGTTGAAGGCCCCCACTCCGTGGCAGTTTGCCCCCAGGACACGAACGCAAGTGGGGGAGAAAGGCAAGGAAACACAGCTATCGCTCCCAGGGTTTGTCCTATGAAGGATGAGGAGGCAGCCTGGCAACATGCAGACCCTACGGAGGGAAAGCAGTGAGACTCACAGAAGGACAAGCGTCTCAGGGTTCCACTCACAGGAGGCACAGAAGACAAAACCCACAGACAACGGGCTGAAAACACGGTGGTGGTGGCCAGGGGCTGGAGGTGGAGGAAAGGGGAGGTATTGCGTAATGGAACAGCTTCCAGCTGCAATGACGAAAAGTTCGAGAGATAGTGACGGTTACACAACAGCATGAATGCGCTGAATGCCACTGTGCTGGACGCTGAAAAAAGGACAAACACGTCAAATTTTGTTATGTTATTTTGCCATGATGGGGCTCCCAAGTGGCTCAGCGGTAAAGAATCTGCCTCCAAGGCAGGAGATGCAGGTTCCATCCCCGGGTCAGGAAGATTCCCTAGTGAAGGAAGGACATGGCAACCCACTCCAGTGCTCTTGCCTGGAGAATCCCACCACAGAGGAGCCTGGAAGGCTACAGTCCATGAAGCTGCAAAGAGTCAGACACGACTTAAAGACTAAACAGCAACAACGTTTTCTAGGATAAAGAAAAACCTGCCCCACGTCACATAAGTAACTCATTTTAATTAGGTACTACATTTTTTTTTCAGAAAAAAGGAAAAAAAAATCCAGCATGAATTAAGCACAGTTCTAATTCTAGTCGGGGTCAAGACCTCCAAAGGGCTCCAAGTTTATTAAATCCTCCACCATCTCCTGAGCCTTCATCTAAAAATCAGACTCAGTCAAAACTCAGGCCTATTGTCCGTCAACTTGAGAAGAGGCCTGTCCGTTCGCCGTGAACCCGGAACCCTCTGAAACCATGGGGTGGGCTGGGCCACAGGACTCCTGGCCAGGGAGGGGAGGCCGTACTGAAGCCAGAACAGGCAGGAATGAGGGGCGCTGAGGCCTGGACCCACACACATCCACACCTCAGCTCCTCCCTCGGTGAAAAGCCTAGGACGCTGCCTTCTGTTCCCCAAACCAGAAAGCCATCCTTTCCGAGCCGGATAATCCTTGTAGAATTCCATCGAGAGTCCCTTTCCAGCCTGTCGACGACTTACACGGTCTCAGACTTTGCCTCCGTCCCCGAGAAGGAGGCAGCACTCAGGCTCAACCTGGAGGTGCCCACAGGCTCTGTCTGGTCTATGAAGCTGGTGGAGGCCGGGCCAGGCCCGAAAGACCGTTTTCTGCCCGACACTACTCACGCAGGTCACTGGTCCACTCAACAACCCAAGGCAACAACAAAGTCGTGATCGCTCTGACGATAACGTGTCACCAGGATCCAAAGGGCAAATTCACTGCTTAGAAACAGGAAAGAACAGCGTGGCCACCGCCGGAGCCCAGGTAGGAACGGGGGAAGCACACGGCGAGGGTGCCCCGGACGTCAGGAGGAAAGGGCCTGGCTGAGCGGCCTTTCTCAGGAAGGGATGGCCAGAGTCCCAGAGAGGAATTTAAGGGACGGGGGTGGGCACAGCCGCCTTCCCACCTTCCCAACCCGGCCCTGGGCCGTGTGCGTTCCCATCTCCCACTCCCTTTTAAGCTCCCAAGCGGAGGCAAGGACCACGCTCCCTCCTTCCACTCAGCTCGCACGGTGGGAGGGGGGGCTTGCACACAGCGGGGCTCGCAGCTGGAAGGACCCCGGGCCCTACCCAGCCCTGTTCCTCAGGGGTGTGAAGGGCAGTGGAAAGGACCGGGGGTCCGCGTCCCCGAGGGACCTGGAGGCCCCTCTGCCACTTCCTGGCAGCATCCTTATCTGCAGATGGGGGTGTGGGGGGGTGAGGCCGAGCTCCCTGGGAACACGCGTGTCAGGGCACGGTCACCATTCCAGCTGCTTCCCTCCCCTCAGACACAGAAGCTGCTGCAGCAGAGAATTAGGTGAGGTCCCCTCCATCCACACTGGGACCCTCCCCACTGTCCCACGTCAGAGGCACGGGCCCTGGCCGGCGGGCATCTAGGGAACGCAGGCAAATGTCGGGAAGGAGACAGATGGCCTGGCCCTGGCAGTCCCGCCTTCGCCTCCAGCCACACGCCTCAGAGGGCTCAGAGAAGCCGGCTGGGCAGGCTCCCAGAGCTGAAACTGCCAGGAGCTGCAAAACCCAGCAGGAGACACAAGGTGCGACCCTAGAGGGCTTTCAGAGCAGGATTCACCAAGGGCCAAAGGGGAGGGGGTGGTGCAAGTTGTCAGACGACCTCCCTGTGTCACCCACAGAGCAGGGCACTGAAGGCAGGCGAGGGGCTCCGGAGACGGCCTGCGGGGAGGCCCCCCAAACACACCACCCCAACAGGGCCCCACTCGCTGGAAACTCCCACCTCCCCCAGCAAGAGAACACAGTTTCAGACGACAGGTCTCCACGAGAAGCTCTCCTTTCCTCCTTTGTTGACAATGTTCACACGTACTCTCGCGGGTGCTGAGGGCCAATCCAAGCTGGCTAGCCGGGCCAACAGCTGGCCAGACGGCGCTGGTGCCGGGCAACCACAGGGCAATCCTCCAGAGCCCAGAGGAGCTGAGCTGCCTGCAAAGCGGTCTGCTCAATACTACCGCTCCCCCACACACGAGGGGCCTGGAGGATGAGGCTGGGCCCCGCCACAGGTCCCAGCAACACAGCTCGGACAGAGTCAGCAACAAGATGAGCCCAAAACAAACAGGACGGAGCGCGGATGGCAAAGAGGCCCCTCCACAGAGCCAAAAATAGCCTCACTTGTTTCAAGAGGATTCTGACCAACCAAGCACACACAACTCCATCGGCAGAAAAAGAAAAGGTCAATGGAGTGGAAAACCACACCAGCTCAGCAGGGGCCGGGGACTCCGCCAGGTTCCCAACTGCCTCACCCCCAACAACCCCAAATCCCGGTCCTGACTCCCACCACAAACTGCGCCTGGCTCTCGAAACCCCGTCCCATTAGCCCAGCGCCACACGGTGTCTGTACACAGATGTGCACACGCGTTATACACACAGGCCCGAGGGTTTAACCTCGGGGCCAGGAGCCGGACCACGGACTCGGAGCCGAACATAAGCATGGGTGGGCAAAGGGGACGACAAAGCGGGGGTGAGACGCCCAGCGGTGAGGTCTCCCGTCCAAACCGGACAGATCAGCACGGGTGTGGCCCTGCTTCAGCCCCGGCTCTTTGGTAGCCCACTGAGTCAGAACTGCCTGTGGCCTCCCTTCCTCCTGGTTTGTATTTTTCACCTGCTCTGACTTGCTCTGGGGCTGCTGGCCAGAGAGCGAACCCAACCCTCCTCCAGCCTGGGAGCAGCTGGCATCCCGTGGGTTCCCCGGATGTGTCGTGGAACTCTCCCAGGGCAGGTGGCGGGGACTGCCCAAGACACGGATCAGTCCCTGCTGAAGTACCCACCCAGAGGGAAGAGATGACACCCCGCCCCCCCAGACCATCCCTGCTGCCCCCAGGTGGAGGGCGAGGAGATGGCTGCCCAAGGCGATCCTGGTCCCGACCCACAGAGAGGAAGCACTCTCACGAGAAAGCACAGGCTCCAGACCCGAAGGAAGGCGCCACCCCCACCATTCTGACACACCACCCCTCCCACCCGCATCCCACTCCAGACGCTGGGAATCCGCTTTCAGGAGGAAAGCAGGGATGGAGTTTGCTCAGGCGGGGGAACGGGCGCGAATCCTTCCAGCCCACCACTGGCGCCTGAGAACCATTCCACAAAGTACCTATCTGCCCCGCACCCCGGCCTCTCGGGTGTGCCTAGCAAGCTGGCAGAGGCACTTACCTGCGTCTGCGTCCTGAGGCAGCTTGCCGGACAAGCTGTCCCCATCGCCAGGCCAGATCTGCCCCGTCTTGCGGACGCCCACGATGGTGGCCTCAGACACGACGACGGGGCCCTGGCGGTGCCGCTTCTGGCACTGGGGCGTCGGGGGACTGCTGCTGTCAAAGGACTGCTGGGAGTTCTGCGAGGGCGAGCGGCTCTTGTCCCGGAACGGCCGGTAGGTGGTGGGGCTCGGGGACACGCGGCTGGACTGGCCAGAGGAGAAGTCCTCCTCACTGGACGTGAGGTTCTCGTTGGAGCTGCAGTCCGGCGTGTAGCCGCCTCCGCTGTCCTCGAAGCTCCGCGGGGAGTAGGACCTCCGCGGCCAGGTAAGACGCTTCTCCTGCTCCGAGGTGCTCTGGCTGCGCTGCAGCGGGCCCTTGGCCTCCCCTTCCACCATCATGCCCCCGACGTAGATGCTCTGGTAGGGCTGGTGCTCCAGGGGCGGCCACGGGGGCCTGCCGCTGCCGCTGATCAGGTTGTCCCTCAGGAAGCGCGGGTTCAGCTCGGCGTCCTCATAGTCGCCGTCGAGGCCGCCGCAGCCGCTGCCCTCGGAGGCGCGCCCACGATGCGGGGGCCTGGGGGCGTCCACGGGGCCCGGCCCAGCGCCCTGCTGCTGCGACTTCCTGCGCTCCATCTGCATGGCCTGGCTGCCCAGGGAGCTGATGCGGTCCGACACGTCTTTGTCGTTGACCTTCACCAGGCCACGCTCGTGGTGGAACTCGACGTTCACGTAGAAGGGCTTCTCGGTGTCCGCCGCCGCCGCGGGCTGACCGGGGCCCTTGCGGATCCTCTCGAAGTTGGAGCGCAGCGCCGCCACGCTGGTGGGGGGCCCGCGTTCGTCTAGCTCGGCGGCGGCTGCGGGCCCGGGCCTGCGAGCGGCCGCGGGCCTGGCCTTGCCCGGAGAGCCCTCCCCTTCGGGCCGGGCCTCGGGCTCGTCGGCGGCCGGCGGGTCGGCGCCCTCGGCGGGCGCGGGGTGCGCGCGCGGCGCGCGGGGCTCGGCCGCGCCGTCGGGGGGCTGTGCGGCGCGCCGGAAGCCCCAGCGCTGCCGGTCGTAGCTCTTCTTTTCCTTGGCCAGCAGCGTCTGCAGGTAGATCATCCGGAAGCGCTCCTGGTTCACCTCCTGCTCCAGGCGCCGGATGGAGGCCTTGCAGCGCTCCAGCTCCTGCTCGATGTCGCCCACCGAGCGCAGCTCCATGCGCGGCGGCTCCGAGTCCGGGAACTGCGCCTTCCATGCCTCGGCGAAGCCCACCGGGTCCACCATGGCGAGGCTGCGGCTCCTCACCTGCGCCGCTCGGCTGCGCGCGCCAGCGGGGCCGGCTTCAGCGACGGCGCAGCGGCCTCGCCAGGCCCAGCCTGGGACGCCGGGCGGCCCCCATGCCCACGGCGGGGCGAAGGCGGCGGCGGCGCGCGAACAATGCCCGCCCCCTCCCAGGCGGCAGGTGAGGCCGCGGCCGGGCGGCCGGCGCGCGGGGCGGGGCGAGGGGCGCGGGGCGCGGGGCGGGGCGCGCGCGGGGGAAGGGCGCGGGCCCGCGCGCCCGCTATTGTGTGCGGGGCTCCCGGCGCGCGCGCGCGCGCGGGGCGGGGCGGGCGCTGCCTCCGCTCGGCCGGCCCGCTAGCCCATGGCCGCCGCCCGCGCGCCGCTGTCCTCGAGCTCCCGCGCCGCCGCCCGGCTCCCCGCGCTGTGCTCTGCCCGCCCGCTCCCGCCGCTCTGTCGCGCGCCGCCCGCGCTCGGCGCCGCAGGAAGGGGCGGGGCGGGGCGGGGAGGTAGGCGGGGCCGCGGCGCGGCTGATGGAGCCGGGGGGGTCTCTTAAAGGGGCTTCTCCCCGCGCGGCGATCTGCACGCCCGCTCCCGCCGCTCTCTCGCTCGCCGCCCGCGCTCGGCTCCGCAGGAAGGGGCGGAGCGGAGGGCGGGGCCGCACCGCGGCTGATAGAGCGGGGCGGGGCCTCTTAAAGGGGCGGCCACCCCCGCCCCCCCCCCCCCCAACCCGGCCGCGGCCCTGCCAGCGGCCCCCGCACCTGGGGAAACTGAGGACCGGACGGCGACTTCTGTACCCCCGGGAACAGGTGCCCTGGATCCCGGCCAGCCGGGTGGCCTCTCGCTGGCGTAACTGGCTGAGCGCGCTCCCCAGCGGAAAGGTCGCCCGGCGGTCGCCTCCGGGCTCTGGGGTCCCGGCATGACGGCTGAAGCATCACGTAGAGGGTCCATAGGAATGTCTCCCCCCGACCCCGGGCTGCTCAGCACGAACGTCTCCCTTCCTGCAGCCCTGACTGGGAATTTATCTGTCATCTGCTTCCGAGGGGGGCCCCCGGCCTCCACTGGGCGCCCAGGGATGGGGGACGGAGGCGGACAGCACGGCCCCGGCGGGCAGTGAAACGGAGTCTGCTTTTGGTTCTCCGGAGAAGCCCAGAGATCTCAGACACACAGCGGAGTGGACACCGGGGGTGCGGTGGGGGTGGGGGGCCCCGAGGGCCGAGAAGACCCCGACCAGCCTGCTGGGTGACGCGAAAGGAAATGGGATGTGTCAGCCGGAGACCCCGGCTAGAGGCCAGGCGCCTCTGGGCCGCTCGCGCCTGCTTCCCCGGGCGTTAACGTGAGAACCAGAATGCACACACACGCCCGCCCCGCCTCGTGAGGGTTCTCTTACCCGAACACCCCTCCCCCAGCTCCGGTGCCACCCGGAGCGGATGCCCTGACGTCTCATCTAGAGGGAACGGAGCCCAGGGCGGCCTGGCAGGGCTTCAGGTCTCTCCCCCGGAGGCTTGTGTGACCTTGGCAGTTCCCTTCCCCTCCTCTCTGAGCCGGTTTTTCATCCTCACGTGGAACAGTGTGTTGTGAGCACCGTGCGGAAGCTGCCGGATGGGGGGCAACCATAAAACCTGGGCTGTTCTTCCCGTGGTCGCCTTTCACGGTGGTGCCCTGGGAGCCTGGCAGGAAAAGCCCCGGGGCGGTGGGGGCGGGGAGGGGAGACTGGCAGACGCTTCCAGCCACTGCTCCTTGCTGCTCCCTGCAGGTGCTCTGCGCTGGGCTGTGTCCACCCTAGCGCTCCTCTGCCCAGCAGACAGGGCCCCGAGGGTAAAAAAGCCTGTTTTGCATCTGAGGAAGGAGGGCTTGAGGCCAAGTTGGTGGCTGGCAGAGCCAGGCAGGAACCCCAGCAGCGTTCACATCCTGAAGACCTCTTCTTCAAGTTGGGAGCAATAAACCCTAACCTCCCAACACATGGCCCACAGCAGCTCACCATCGGCATTAGTGCTTTCCTCCGGCACCGCCTCGAGTGGATCTGGCAGAACCAGAACCCAGTGCCTCTGGAACCCCATTCCCTGGCAGTCAGCAGGGAGAATCCCAAAAGCATAAACTTTTTTTAACCCCTTGCTAACAGGGTTTGAGTTTCCAGGGGGTATTTGTGGGTCCACCTGGGACAATATCATTAAGCACCAGGGAAGAAAAGAATACTTTGGAGGGGGGGGAGCTGCTGCATCTATCAGTGAGGTGTTCCTCTCTGGTTTGCAGGCCCCCAACTTGGCCCCACCTTAAAGTTGTGTGCACTGGAAACTGACACTGTTCGGTTTGGGTTTGTACGCCCTGTTCTCTTGGCAGAGCAAGTGGCTTGCTGGGCACAAGGACACTGCAAGATAGTGGCTATCTCCCCGTGGGACAGCTTCTTCTGGCACCAAGGACATTCCTCCCCTCCCCGTAGTCTTCCCTGGAAGCACCCCCGCCCTGGGTCTCTGCTCCTTCCCCGATGAGCTTTATCATCTCTCCCTACAGAGGAAGGGAGGGCGGAGGAGGAACGTGGGATCCATTTCCATTAACGCTCTGCGATCCCCACCCCGTGTCTGTTCCCAACTAGATCTAAACTTCCGAGGACAGAGATCTGTCTGTCTTGTTACCCACTGAACCCTCAGTGCTTACGACATAATAGGTGCTCAGTCAGTCCTGTCCCCGCGGGAAAGAGGCGGTGGTGAGCATGCAGAAGGGAGGAAGGGGTGAGGCGGGCAGAGCCAGGCCTCGGCAGAGGTACATGGGCTGTGTGAGTGGACGTCCAAGAGGACGCAGAGGTCTGGGGAAGGCTGGCCTACGGGTATGACGCATGAGCTGGTCCTGGAGATGGGGATGGACAGGCAAAGACGGGGAGAGTTCAGAGGTCCGGGTGTGTTTGAGGAACAGCTGGGTTAGGGGCCAGGCTGACGTGGCCTGCAGGAGGTCAGAACTGGGGTTTCACTCACAAAAACCATCACCACCATCAGTTAACAAACATTTCCATCACTCCCGACAGATTTTTTTTTTCCATCTAAAAACTAAAATGGGACAGGAAAATGGGATTGTCGGTGGTATTTCCCCCTTTCCACTTCCATCATTTTCTGGGATGAGGCTCTATAATTCATTTCAAAATCTCTTTCTCTCTCTCACACACACACACACAAACACACACACGCACACCCTCATGTACCTTCAGCAGCAGCCCTAGGGGTTCTTGAACCCAGGACCAGGTTCAGACAGGCCCCTCCCCAAAGGCTGCTGCTGCTAAGTCGCTTCAGCCGTGTCCGACTCTGTGCGACCCCTTAGACGGCAGCCCACCAGGCTCCTCCGTCCACGGGATTCTCCAGGCAAGAGCACTGGAGTGGGTTTCCATTTCCTTCTCCAATGCATGAGACTGAAAAGTGAAAGTGAAGTTGCTCAGCCGTGTCCGACTCTTAGCGACCCCATGGACGGCAGCCCACCAGGCTCCTCCGTCCACGGGATTCTCCAGGCAAGAGCACTGGAGTGGGGTGCCATTGCCGTCTCCCCCAAAGGCTACCTGGTCCCTTTGCGGCAATGAACCACTGGGACCCAACAGCCCCCTCTGCTGGACAGAATGCAGAACTTCCGACGCCTCAGACCCTGGCGATGGAAACCATCCCATCAGTCAAGGGAATATGACGCTGGAATATTATTTGACCATCAAAGAAAATGCAGTACCAGTGCATGCTGAATACCCACGAACCTTGAAAGCATTATGCCAAGTGAAAGAAACCAGGCAAAACAGACCACATATTGTATGACTCCGTTTACGTGAAATGTCCAGAACAGACCAAATCTATGGAAACAGAAAGTAGGCTGGTGGCCGCCTGGGGACGGGGGCTGGGCGGTGTGGGGAGTGACTGCTGATGGCCTCACCCAGCAGTGAGGGGCTGTGTTTTGCTGCTTCCCTGCTCTGTGCGCGCGTGCATCCCCCCAGCTTTGGGGGCCAGAGGAGGGCTCCCTTCAGGCGGGGATGTGGCCACATGACCCCCCAGCAGTCATCCATCATCCTTCAGCCCCAGGGAGCTGCAGGCAAGATCGGAAAGCGGGGGCGATCGATACAGCTGTCCTGTAGCCCTGCCCGTGGTGCTGTGCTGGGGGGCGCCTGGCGGGGCGCCTCCTGCAGGCCCCCAGCCCTGGCCCACAGAGGGGAGTGGGGTCTCTGCAGGGTTTCGCTGGCCCCGGGCTCCGCGTGAGTGAGCCGTGGACCCTTCCTTCCCTCTTGGCTGGAACTCCCCTGCCTTCTGCAGAATCAATTATTGATGAGGCCCTGCAGTGGGGGTGGGAGTACAGATCCCTCTGAGCGCCTCGGCTGCGTTTCCAGCCTCACGGAGGGTGCAGGGGCCCAGACAAGATGGGCTGGTTCCTGAAGGCCCGGCCAGCGACACGGCGACACGGTGCGGGCAGTGGCTTCCTGTGGTCAGAGACCCAGGACACCCTCAGGCGGGGGTGGAGGGGTGCCACCCTTCTGCTGGAGACCAGGGGGCGGGAGGAGGGGCCTGTGAACAGCAGCCTGTGGACGGGAGGCCCCGCCTTGCTCCCTCCTGGGGTTGCAGGCTCAGACAGGTGGCCGGGGAGGGGGGGCCAGGGGGGCCCGGAATGCGGGGGAGGGAGTGTCTGGATGAGGGGGTAGAGGCCTGGAAGGAGGCCGCGGGACCACACGCTGCTCCCCATCGGCCTGACGCCTGGGGAGCGACGGGGAGGCCGCGGCAGATGGCAGAGGAGCACGGGGCTGCTGGGCAGGTGTCGTGTCATCTCGGGGCCCCCAGCTCCCCTGCCCCGCCTCCGGGAAAACAGAAGACTCAGAGGATGAGGGTCCTCTCTGAGCTTCGGCTGCTTCTGAAAGTTCCCACTCCCCACACCCACTCGTGTATCTGCCCCGGGCCTCCTGGGTCCAGAGCACCCTCTGCAGCTCACAGGCCAGGAACGCCTGTTCCCCCGCACCCCCACCCAGTCCCGCTCAGGTTTCTATCTGTGTGGCTGTGAGCAGAGCGGGCCCCCCCGCCCATCACCACGTCCCCTTACCTCCATCTGAGGTGACCTCAGGCGTCCAGCTCACGCGGCCAAGGCCCTCAGGAGCGTGCGGTCCTTCGGGAGGGGCCCATGTCCCATCGCCTGGCTGAAGGGGGCTCTGGAGGCATCCGAGGCCCGTTTCCTCGAGATGCCTCTGAAGTGCTCACATGCACACGGGGGCCACAGGAAGGGAGTTTCCCAGCGGGACGCTTAGAGGGCTGGGCGCACACAAGATGGTGGTCCTGGCTCAGAGGCCAGTGACAGCCGGACACGGTCCCCAGAGGCGGGGGAGGGAGCCGGGAGGGTGCCAGCCCACCTGAGCACACTCACCCATCCTGACACTGTCTCTCGTGTGCCCCAAACCCAGGCCTGGCACAGCCCCAAGGTTGGGTCTGGTGGGCCAGCCCGCGGGAGGCCCAGCAAGGTCCCTGTGGGGAATCCCGAGCGTGGAAAGCTGCCGCTGTGAGGACTGACACCTCAGTGAAAAGAAGCGAAAAGCCGACCGTCTGGCCCTGGGACAGTCTCTGGCCCCGCTGCAGGAAGTCAAATCTGCAGCCTTGAAGGGACACAGGCTCGCCCAGCCTGGGAGGAAGAAGGCCGCCCGGTGGGCGGGCCAGGGAGAGGGCGCGCTGGTTTCACAGCAGGAGGCCTGCGCTGCTAACGTCAGGCCACGGGGGGTGCCTCCCTGGAGGCTGAGCCCGGTACCGCCCCGTCTCACAAAGGCTCGTCTGCGGTTCCTGCCGAGTGCTTTATGCAAAGGAGGACCCTCCATCTACTAAAAGGAGAGCTGAAGACATGGAGAAGGCGGAGCGGACAGAAGACGCGGTGTCCCCAGGCCGCTGACCATTGGCTGCCCAGGGAACGCTCACAGTCCACGAGAACGGCGGCCACACGTGCCACCTGCCTGTGGCCGTGAGGTGGGGGGCTCAGTAGGCCCTGTGGAGGAGCCCCACGAGGGCCTGGAGCGGGCCGGGAACTCTGGGTGGGAGCTGGGGAGGGGAGGCTGGGGGCGCCCGCCTGTTCCGGGGATCAGGAGGGCCGTGGAGATGGGGAGCCTGCCTGCAGGGGCTGGAGTGCCTCCACTGTGCTGCAGACACCTGCAGCCATCATCAGGGTCCTCGGGGACCTTCACAGGCCAGTGGGAGAGAGGGGCCGGGGGTGGGCACCGGCCCAGCAGAGTCTGGGTGACAGCTGCCAGTGTGTGGGGGGGGGCAGTGCCATGAGCAGCGGATGCCGCAGCGAGTCACGGGGTGGGGGCGGGGCACAGTCGGGCCGGGAGTGTGCGTGGCCCATCCTGCCCATCTCGGCCCCTGACCCGGGGCGCAGGATGCCACGGGTCAGGGCGGAGCCAGAGGGGGCCCCTCAGCGGCCGGAGAGGGCACCCACAAGCCCGTGGCAGAGGGACGGTGGACCGCAGGGCCGGGGCTCCGAGGCCCAGCCCTGCTGACAGAACAGCCGGGGCCAGGAGAGAGAGAGTCCCACCCGCCGGGGCCCCTGAGATGAGGGGGACTCCGGGGCCGACCAGGGGGGCTGGGGAGGGGCCCGGGGAGCCCCGACCATGCCCGGGGTCTGGGACCCGGGGGGCAGGTGCTATGCCTGCGGTCCTAAGCCTCCGCGGCCAGGGCTGACGGGCAACACTGTAGGTGCGACTGGCCTTCCAGACCGGGGCCCCGGGCGGCAGTGTGGGCCTCCCCTGGCTCCCGCCTCGCTACGCAGAGGAGGCAGCTGGGGGAGGGGGGTCCCTGGGGCTCAGTGTGGTGGACGCCCCGCGTCCCCCTCCATGTCACGGACACACCACCAGCACGCCTCTTGGAGGGCGGGGAGGCCTCTGCCGCAGGCCTGGCTAACAGCAACTCGGGCTGGAGGGCCTCCTGCTGTCCGGGGTCTCAGGTGGGAGTCCCTCCATCCCTGCAGCAAGGGGAGAAGTCACCTGGCGCCGAGCGGGCACCTGGGCTGACAGGGGAGGGTGTCTGAGCTGGCCGGCAGGTGGCCGGTTGGTGGGGGGGCACTGCAGCTGGAGGTCAGCAGGAGGGGAGAGGGGCCAGACAAGCCGGGCGGACAGTCGAGCCCTGGCAGAGGGTGGTGGATGCATATGTCGGGCGCAAGCCCCTCCCCGGCCCGGGGGCCCTGCACGTACGGATGAGGTCCCCGCTGCCGACCTGCAGCGGGGCGCTGCTCCTCCGCTCCAAGTCCTGCAGTACTGAGCGCTCGAAGGCCAGGGCGGCCACACGGCTGAAAAACGCCTTCACGTTCTCCCCTGTGGGCACGGACAGTCATGACCCCCGCCTGCAGGCGCCCTGTGGGGGGCAGGGTAGTCGGCGGGGCAGGAGGCAGGACGCTCCCCTCTCTGGGCAGGGGACAGACTCCCAGCCCGGCCATTAGCCCTGGCCACTCCTGATAACCTCTGAGCCTTGGTTTCCACGTGGCGCTAGTGGTAAAGAACACGCCTGCCAGTGCAGAGACTTGAGTCACAGGTTCAATCCCTGGGTTGGGAAGATCCCCTGAAGGAGGGGCATGGCAACATACTCTAGTATTCTTGTCTGGAGAATCTCATGGACAGAGGAGCCTGGTGGGCTGCAGTCCATGGGGTCGCAAAGCGTCAGACATGCCTGAAGCGACTTAGCATGCACTGTTTCAGTCAATCGCAGCTGAGCGCCTGCAGGCCAGGTGCTGGGCTGTGCGGAGATCACAGGTGGGCCTGCTTTCTTGTCACCGTTTTGCATCTGCCCAGTGGGCAGCCAAGAGGATTAGATCCCCTGGCCCCCACGTGGAGCCTTTTGTGCCTCCTCCTCCAGGAGGACAAGGCCACCCACTGGGGCACAGGGCCAGGTGCAGCCCCCGACACGCACACTGCATTTGTGCAGTTAACAACCTATACAACCGCACAAGGCGGACCTGCTTGCTCCATAAGGAGCTCTCTGGGAATGGGCTGTTACTCCAATAAGAAGGTGGGTTCTCACAGACTTGGGGGTGCCCTCAGGAAGGGGCAGAGAGAACCGGGCACGGCCACCACTTTGTGCCGAGCCGGAGGAGGTGGTGCTTCCACCTGCACCCCGGGCAGCGTCCACAGTGGCCCCTCTCCTGGGGTGAGGACTCCGAGTCCCCACAGCCTTGGCACCTGCGGTGCGCCAGGCATTGCGAGTTGTTTCATTCCATCCCAACAACCTGTTTGCAGAGTCTGTTCTTTGCTTCTGTGCGTTCGCTCGTTTTTCCTCAGTGCATCCTATGTCTTTTATCATAAAAAGCGTGTTTTGCATTAAAAATACAAGACTGACGGCATCACCCCACTTCCCGGGTGAGAATGCTGAGGCTCAGAGATGTTGAAGGCTGCGGTAAGCGGTGCCGTGGGTGGGATCAGCTCCTTCCGGGGAACCAGTGAGGCCCGGGCAGAAACCGGGAGGGGTGTGGGTGAGAGCTGGGGGGTGGGGGTTGGGGGCGTGGCCCAATCCTCTGTACCTCGGGCAGCGCCGGGCCTGCAGGCGCTCAGCGGCAATTGGTTGAGACAGTGCGTGCTACGCCTTCAGGCGGGGCCTCCCGCCCGCATCGGGTAGGGGCGGGACAACGCTGTGGTTCCAGGTGAGGCTGCCCCTGCCTCCCTGAGATACGGGCCGGGACCCCGCAGGGACCTGCCCCCACGAGCAGGAGTAGGGGTCTCAACCAGAGAACAAGGGTGTGCCACTCCGCCCATCCACCGGCCGGGACCCCCACCCCGATCGCCACGCCTCCACGGCAGCCCCGCGCCCACTCACCGGTCTTGGCTGACACAGACCAGTATTCAGCCTGCATCTCGTTGGCCAGGCGCACGGCCTCCGCCTCCGCCTGCTCGCACGCGGCCCCTGACTGGGGGAAGCGGCCCTGCTGATCCAACCCCGCCCCACCCACCCCCACCCCCCACTCCGGCCTCCCGCGGTGACACCCAGGCTGGGCACCCGCCTGGAGGTGAGCCCGGTGGTTCCGGGCAGGTCTGAGCTCTAGCGTCCCTCCCCTACTGGACGGGGACCGGGGACCGAGAGGTCCCGCCTAGGCCCTGGGGGTCACCCTGTGCTCAGAGTGCCCCGAGGCTGCCTGGCTCCGCTCACCAGCAGGTCCTTCTTGGTGCCCACGAGGAACAGAAAGCAGGCGCCCGGCTCATTCTCCCTCAGCGCGTCCTCCAGCCACTGCCTGGAAGGCGGGCGACAGGCTGGGATGGACCCACCCCACGCTGAGCAGACGAGGGAGCCCGGGGCCCCCAGGGCCGGGGGCAGGGGAGGTGGACTGCGCCGCCCGAGGGTGGGGACGCAGGAGCAGCAGGGAGTCAGTGAGCCCCATGGCGTCCCGCACCCTGGGTCCGTCCCGCGCCGCCACCCACAGGAGTGACCAGCCCGGCTCCCCTCACAGGGCTGCAGACGCAGCTGTGAACGCCCCAAACCAAAGTCAGGGGCGGGGGACTCTGGCCCGTCAGCCAATGACCCCTGGCTCTCGCCCAGATCTCTGCCCAGGTGTGTCCCACGCCTGGGGCCCAGGAGCGGTGAGGACGCCAGGCCCTTCCCCCCCAAACTGGGAAGGCTTTCAAGCTGAGCCCTGCAGTCAATGTGGGCTGCTCTGCACTGGCCAAGGGGCTGGCCGGCCCTGTCTTCTGCGGTGGCTGCGTATCTTGAGGGATAGAATGGCAGCTGCACCGTCGCTGGCCCATGGGCAGCTAGTGCTGGCCGGCCTGCCTGGTCTCTTGCACGCACCATTGGGCTCCAGCTCGTGGCCCAGGTTTGGGGAGCCCACGGGGGCTGCCGAGCCCGGACTTGCCTGGCGTGCTCCAGGGTCTGCACGTCGGTGAGGTCAAAGGCTGTGATGATCACTGCGCACAGGGGGGAAGCCGGTAAGTGACGGGGAGGCAAAGACGGTGTGACAAGGGGCCTCCCTCCCACAGAACTGTCCCGGGGGGGCCCTCAGGCACGCAGCCCTGGACCCGTGACATGGGGACCCAGCAGCCCGGCCACAGTGGGGTCCAGGGAGGCAAGGTGAGCCCCCTGCCCCAGATTTTCTCTGCCTTGACGGGTGTGGGGCGCACAAGGGAAGCCTGGACCGCTGAGAGGTCAAGCCACCTCCCCGGCTATGACCCAGTGGGACCGGCCACGGCCACCTCGGGCGCTCAGGGTGGCCCAGGGGATTAAGCTGGAGCAGCGGTGGGAAAGCTCTTGGACCGACTTCCCACCATTGGCAGCTGGGGCAGGACGGCCGATGAGCAACAAGCAGCGTCAGGGGCCCGTTGCAGAGAGGCAGGCTCGGGGCCGGGGTGATGCCTGGTGATGAGCTCCCCGCCCCTCGGCTCCTCCGTCACTGCCCTGCCTGCTCCCACGTGCCCTGGGTGGCCACACACGGAGATCATTCCAGAAGGGCAGGACGCGGGCCGTGGTGGTGACTGAGGCCGGGCGGCTGCCTGCCGGGCTTCGTCCCCGGAGGCAGGGGGCGCACACCAGCCCCCGACCCCGAGAAGAGGCCACAGTGGACGTGGCAGAGTTATTATTCCAAAGCACGGCTCCCTGGTTTTGCTCTTCTCCAGCCTCAGTGAAAACGCGACTTCCGACAGCAGCACTGCATGGATGCAGCTGTGCCTCATCGCCTGAGTCTGGTCGGGACGCCTGCGACCCCGGGCCCCCACCTCCCACAGGAACCCCTCTCCCTCGTCTTCCTGGTCTCGGGAGGGGACTATGTTGCCACCGCCTGCTGCCCGGGAGGCCTACCCGTGCTGGGGTGCCCTCAGCATGGAGGCAGTGGGCAAGGAGCCCCACTGGCCTCCACGGTGTGTGTGTGTGGGGGGTGGGCACCTCCTCTTCTCCCCTCCGGCCAAGCCTCGGCCCCTGCCCTTGAGCCGACTCCACTCTTCTCTGTGGGGTCTCCGCCCAAACAGTCCTCACCCTGAGCATCTTTCTGAGCTGAAACTGGGGCTGAGACCTTCAGGGAGCACGCGCCACCCCAAGGTCCCCTAGAGCGTGTGGCGGGGGAGGCCCGCCCAGGCCCGGCTGGAAGGCCAGGACCGCCCCCGCCCCGTGCTTCCTCATCGGCTCTGAGAGGACCCGGCTTCTCACGGCAAGCCCGGCGGGGAATTCACGGGGATCCCCCAGCTGGACGTGGTTGAGGCCCTGCCAGCCACTCACCCTGGGCACCCCGGTAGTAGGCAGATGCGATGCACTTGAACTTCTCCTGCCCTGCTGTGTCCCAGCTGTGCCGTGGCCAAAAGAGGCAGGGAGACCGAGAGGCGGCCCGTTTAGCTATGCTTGTGGGGTCTCAACCAGCAGGCTCGTGCGGACCCCCAGTGGGAGACCCAGAGCCCTTCCCAGCAGCATGGGCATTGGGAAGTGCCTGTTGCCAGCCCCCACCTGCTCTTGATCCCCTCCTAGGGTGCGCCCCCCGTGGGGCAGGGAGAAGACAGACGGAGGCAGGGGGAGGTGAGCAAGGGCAGGGGTGGGGGGATGTCCAGCCCCAGGAAGGCCTGGGGGCTACGTGACCTCCGCTAGAGCCGCGCAGGCAGGGACCAGTTTTGGCCCCGTTTTCCAGGCGTGAACAGCGGCTCAGAGGCCTGAAGTTACTTGCCAGAAGCCATGCCTGGCCTGGTGCACGGGATCACAGAGGGATACGGGGTGCATGGGGTAGGGGGTGTGGGCGTGCCTAGGGCCTGGTTCTGTAGAAGCGGGGAACCCAGCCTCACACAGCTGGCCAAGGCCTCCTGCTCCCTTGCTGGGGCCTTCCCTGGGGTCTCCACGAAGCCCACCCACGACCATTGGGAGACTCGCAGGTGGCCGCCAGCGACTTACATCTGGAGGCTGAAGGGGGTCCCAGCGACCTCAAAGCGCTCGATCTCAAAGTCCACCCCAATGGTGGCCTTGTAGTCATGGTTGAAGACATTCTTGCAGAACCTGTGGGACCCAGGAAGCTGTCAGAGGCCACGTGTGGAGGCGGCAGGCCACAGGAAGTCCGCCCGCACGGGGAGACCAGGTGACGATGGCCATGGGGATGGGCCAGGGGGACAGGCCACAGGCAGATGGAGCCGCCAGTGAGAGCTCCATGGGCAGAGGCTGCCACAGCTGGAGGCCACAAGTAGGGGTCAGGATGGGGAGAGGCCCCGTGCCCGCCGGCAGGGAGGGCGGTGGGGCTTTGGAGCACAGGGCCCTGGGGACCGCTTGACCATCGCCAGGCTCCCGGGAGGCCGCGCTCTCTGCACGCCTGCCGTCTCCCCAGTTTCCTGCACCCCCTCCCAGCGGCCACACGGTCTCTGCTGTGACCTGGGACTGGGCCTCCCAGGCAGGCCCAACAGCGGTGCTGGGAGGGGGTGGCCGGCCGCGCACCTGTGGATGAGGCAGGTCTTGCCCACGTAGAGATCGCCGACCACCACCACCTTGGAGAGTCTGAGCCTGAGGGGCATGGTGTGATCTCACAGGTGTGGTCACGAGGGCATCCTCACACACACGGGCCCCTTCTCCCCTGCAGTCCTCACTCAAGACGGGGACAGGCCACCCGTGAGACACTCTACGGCGTGCCCCCCTCACTGGCCCAGGGGAAGGGCAGAGGGCCTGCCTTTGTTCTGGGGCCTCCCTACCCCTGACCCCACCAGGCCCATGTCCCAGTCGTGAGAATCAGAAATGTGCACCACAGAAGGCTGAGGGGCAGGCGAGGTGGGGACTCAGAGGCGGCCCCGGGGCCCCGACACTAAGGCTGAAGCCCGAGGGAACGGCCGCGCTCAGACCTCAGGCACCAGCCTCCCCAGGGGCAGAGATGTTCCTGCATCAGGTGAGGCGGGATGACCGGCCCAATGGTCCCTGGGCCGGACGGGGTGGCACCCGCATGGTCTGCTGTCCGAGGCCCGCGTCTGCCTCCACACACTCAGGCGTGCGCTGGGCTCTCCCCAGCCTCCCCCGCGGAGACAGCGCTCACCCTACGGTCCCTGTGTTCCCGCGCTGGCAGGCGGCGCTGACCTGCCCGTGGAAGTGCTCCCGGAGCTGCAGGCAGGCGGCGGGCGTGTACCACTGCAGACAGACAGACGGACAGGCGGGCATGTCCCCCCACGGAGCTTCTGGGCAGGAGCTGGTGGCTTACTTCCCAGGGTCCCCTCTGTCCCCTCCCAAGCCTCCGTCACGGCCGTCCTTGTCAGCACCTCACGAGGCTCCAGGGCTCTGACATGCCAGGGAGCCCAGGCAGGGACCCAGAGAGCTGGGTCTTGTTGGGGGAGGGGAGCTGTGTCACTGCTGTGGGCGAGTCACACCTCTGTCCCCTCCGGTGAGACGAGGGGTGGGCTGTAAGGACCCTTTTAGCACCAAGACCCTCCTACACTTCCTACTACGAATCTCTGATGCTGTTTTCATTTTTTAAAAAATATGCCTATTCGCGCATGGAAAATATCCTTAAAAGCACTTGGGTCATCCACGTTTTTCAGAAAGCAGGACCAAATAGTGGCCCAGGAGCACGGACCCTCAGGCGCTGTGTGACCGTGGGCAGTTGGCTCACGTCTCTGAACTTCAATTTCTGCATCTGGAAACCCTCTGAGACTTGGGGGCGTGAATGAGGTCGTGTTTGTAAAGCCGCCAGCGCAGAGCCTGCCTGGCACATGCATACTGGGTGCTCAGCAAAGACGCCCTGACACTCGGGGAATGCACGTTTGTTCTATAGGCTGAAAAAAAAAGTCATATTAAACAAACGGAAAGTGAAACAAAGTGACAGTCGCTCAGTCGCCTCCGACCCTTTGCTAACCCTGTGGCCTGTGGAGTCCCCCAGGCGCCTCTGTCCGTGGAATCCTCCAGGCAAGAATAGCCATTCCCTTTCTCCAGGAGATCTTCCCGACCCAGGAGTCGAAGCCGGGTCTCCCGCATTGCAGGCAGATTGTTTACCCGCTGAGCCCCAAGCGAAGCCCAAACGAACAGAACGTGACCATTCGGTTTTGCGGTCAGATTGGCCGAGGCTGAGTGTGAGGCGTGGCCGGGGCCTGGGCGGAGCCTCGCTGCAGACGGCGGCTGTGCTTTGCGGTCCGATTGGCCGAGGATGTGTGTGGGGCGCGCCCGGGACGTGGGCGGAGTCTCGATGGGTTCCGCAGCTGTGCTCCGCTGCGTCCCCAGCCACCTCCCTCGGTGGCCCGTGGCCCTCGGCTCTCTGCCCTGGCCCACCTGCCCTCTCGGCCCCGTGTGGCCGCACCAGGGCAGCGAGGAAAGTGAAGGAGCTTTGCAGAGGGCGGATGCGGGGCTTCATGGAGCCCATGTCCTCACCTGTGAGGTGGGGGCACTCTCACAGCGCCTCTTCGTCTGCGGGCTGCAGGGGCAAGCGAGCAGCTCAGGCAAGCGCTCAGCCCAGGGCCACGGCCACGCGGAGGGGGGTGGGCCCTCTTCTCCGGAAGGCTGGCAGCTTTTCTGTCCGCTTCTCTCCGTGTCGGCATCAAGTCGCGGGGGAAGCGGAGAGAGCGGGGTGGTGGGGGGGGGGGGTGCGGCGCGACCAAGACACGGCGGTCAGGAGAGGGGGCCCACCACTAAGCCAAAAGCAATAAGGAATCTGGCCGTGCAGCGCGGCAGCAAGAAAGGCAGCCAAAACCCGACACAAAAAATGTAGTTCAGCCGGTGATGGTAATAAACCAATGGAAGGACACAGCCTGGTGCCGGCCAAGAGGAAAATGGTAGAAATGTTGGGGACAGAAAGAAGAGGGGAAAAGAACAAAATAAGAACGATGCAGTGGATCCCAGATTCCTCCTAAGAGAAAAACTTTTTTAAATGTACTTTTCATGTTGTCCTTCGTAAAAGATAGGAATTTTCTTTTCAAGAAAAAGTACAGCTGAAAAATCACTTTCAGTTTTTTTTTTTTTAAACAGTGGTAAAACTTTCTGATAGGCAATATTAATTCTATATCCCATTGATATATAGTAGGTTAATGCATAACATGGGCTTCCTAGATGGCTCAGTGCTAAAAAATACACCTGCCCAGGCAGGAGATGCAGGTTTGATCCCTGGATCGGAAAGATCCTCTGGAATAGGAAATGGCAACCCACCCCAGTATTCTTGCCTGGAAAATTACATGGATGGAGGAGCCTGGCAGGCTACAATCCATGGGGCCGCATAAAGTTAGACACGACTGAGCGACTGAGCACACACTTGGGATACAGATTAAAGAAGTGTGCTAAAGAAGGCTGGTGGGCCCTGCACGCAGGGAGACGGGACATGTGGGATGAAGGAAGGACTGGCCCGCCTGACTGCACACTGCTCAGGCCTGAAGTGCTGTGGCCCCTGGGGTGCAGGATAAACCTGGCCACAAGCATATGGCAGAGAATCCCACCTTCTGTGGGAACAGGGGTGCCCCAGGCGGCCTCCCAGGGTGGGAGACAGTCAAGAGCTTGGAGTCAGCCATGATCGGGTGAAGTCTGGGCTCCCCCACGCACAGCTGTGTGACCTCAGGCAGGCAGCCCTCTCTACCTCTCAGCCTTGCTGTCATGCTCTGTAATTGAGGCCCTTCATCCCATGAGACCTGTGCCAGTCACCCCTCCCTTCCTTCAGCTCTTCAACCCCTTCATCCTCAGTCACTACTGACAAGGGAAGCAGTTACTGGGCCTCTGATGAGATGGAAAGTCCTGCGGGGACCATCCACCAGTCAGAGGCACCGAGGCTTTCTCTGTGCGAGCTGGGAGGAGGCAGGAGAGGGGGAGGCAGACACTGCAGACCCCAAACACCGTCTGCCCTCCTTCCCCCACTGGCCTGAGCACAGATTTCAAGACTCAAAAGGGAGGATTTCTCCCGCACACAGGGCGGTGACCTGCAGGATCTCAAGCATGCTTCCAGGTACTCGGCTTGTAGAAGCAAACACGAGCGTCTCTTCTCTTCCTCGCCTTTTCTCAAATCTGGTGCTCAAGCACTTACTTTGGCCCTCATCGTCATGCATCAGCCCGAGAGGTGCTCGTTTCTCCTGCGCCTGTGTCAGGAAGCAGCTAAGTGGCCCCCTCTCGAGGACATCATGTTGTGTCTGACCTGTGTTACAAACTGCTGCAGAACCTGGCCCTGAGCGGCGGCGAGCAGAGGGCAGGTGGAGCCTCTGCAGGGCTGGGAGACACTGGCCCTCCCACCCGCTTCAGGTTGTATGGATTTGTGTCCCCTGCTGTGATTAAGGATGGATTTTAAGATAGCGGTGAGTTTTCAGTAGGGACAGAAGGCAGCAGGGCAAGGGGTGAGAACCTTCGATTTAATCTCAGGAAACTGGAGGTAGTGTTCGATAATGTAATAATAATTTTAAAATATTGATTGATCTTTGGCTGGGTTGGGTCTCAGTTGCAGGCAGGATCACTGTGGCTCCACTGGGCTTAGTTGCCCCAAGGCATGTGGGATCTTAGTTCCCGGAACAGGGATCACACCTGTGTCCCCTGCATTGGAAGGTGAATTCTTAACTACTGGACCACCAGGGAAGCCCTGATAATGTAATAATTATACTGAGAAAAGCAGCAACCACAACCTGGGCGAGGGAGCTCCCGTTGACCATGAACCAGGCATCCAACATGAGCAGACCTGTCCTTGTGGACCAGCAGGTCTGAGAGGTTGAGTAACTTGCCCAGGGTCACACAGCTTAATGACACGCAGGGCTCACACCACTGTCTGACTGCAAAGTCTGTGCCCTTCACCTCCACATCACACTGCCTTCTAGGGTCACCTTTCACCTGCGGCCCACCTTGGGTAAGTCAGTGCCAAGCTTCTCAAGAAGTCTGCTGAGTCCCTAGGGTCTATCATCGAGGGACTGACCTCCCCGCTTGACCTGCCTTGTTTCTGGTGGTGAGAGAGGTGGGGAAAGTTGGGTGCGGGCATGCTGTCCCTGGAGCAGTGCACACATCAAGGGCTGGCCTAAGGTCTCCCTACCTTAGGGAAGCTGGTGATGACACGGTCCCGGCTCACAGAGGGCCCCAAAGGTGTCAGGGAGGACCTCATCCTTCCAGGAATCCTGTGCCCCCAACAGGGGGAAAAGAGGGTTAGGGAGTCCCTGGGGATTCCCCAGAGTTGATGCTGAACATGGCTGTAGCTTTGAAAACAGTCCAAGCCTCCTTCTGTGTCAGGAATGTCAGGGGCCATCTCCCCAATCTGCAGGCGGTGTGTGCTGGGGGCAGGGGAGACAGGCCTGCGGCCCGGCCTGGGAGAGCTGGCGCCCTGGGTCTCCCGCCAGGTGTCCCGCCAGGAGTGGCCCCTCCCTGAGCTCAGCGCTGGGCTCCGAGTGACTGCGGCAGAGCAGGGACCCACAGTCCTGGCAGAGGAAGTAGAGTGGGGAGGGGCCCCCGCTCCTGGCCTCTAAGGGATGAAGGCTCTGGCTGCGCCGAGCCGTAGCATTCAGCGCACAACCCTTTCCCAGGAGCACCCAACCCGGCGCTGGGCCCCTCCCGCCGATATCCACGGCCCGGGTCTCCTCCTCCCGGTCCGCGCCCTCCCCACTGAGTGTCCCCGACCGAGGCCTGTAGTCCTCCGCATCGGAACTTCCGTCTCCAGACCAGCCCTTGGGGTCCGGGGTGGGCGGTCAGGAAATGAGGAGGCCCGGGGGCCCTGGCCGAGTTCAGATCGTGCGGTGGGAGGGTACCACGCGGGCTGGCGAGGGTGACACCCAAGGGGAGTCTGACTGACCTGCGGCCGCTGACACAGCTCCTGGCGCTGCCTAGTCCGCGATCACCATGGTAACGAGCACCACGCCGGACCCGCCTGCTTCCGACGAATCCCGGACGCTGGGGGCGGGGCTTACAGCCAAAAGAGTACCGCCAGCGCCCTGCTCCGCGATCACCATAGCAACCAAAGCCTCGCGGGAGACTCCGGGACGCCGATCCAGAGCGGCGACCATCAAGGCAACGAGGGCGGCCGGGGCGGGGCGGGGTGGGGGGCGCTGATGGGCGGGGTCAGGGCGGCCAGGGGTGGGCCTGGGCGGGGCTGACCGTGGAGAGACTTGCGCTCCTGACTTTCTGACGTCACCGTGGTAGGGAGGAGATCAAGTGTTTATTTTCTTAATATGTCAGATATGATTTTTTTCTGGTTATCTAAATATTTGTGTGTTTTGCTTTATATGTGGTATGAGATCCCTCGACTCCTTCTCATTACATCTCATGTTTGATCTATCAGTAAATCCTGTAGTTTCTACCCTGAAAAATTGACCAGAATCTTCTCTCTCCGTCTCACTTTCACTGAGCCCACGATGGTCCCAACCATCATCGTCTCCTCTCCCCTTAACTGGCCTCCCCACCTTCCATCCTCGCTCCTACCCTCTTCCCAGTTCTGCAGTCCCCAGGGACCCCTGGTTAAGAACACAGATCAGATCATGTCAGTCCTCGGCTGCAAACTCTCCAATGCCTCCTCCTCGCCCTCCGAGTAATAAAGTCTTTCCAGTAGCCCAAGAGGCCCCACGTGAATTGCCCCATTTCTTCTCTTAGCTCGCCCGCTACTGCTTCCCGCCTCCCCACCCCCACCCCCCACACACTCCATTGGCCTCCTTGCTGTTCCTCCAACACGCCAGGCACCAGGGATGCTTGCTCTGCCTGTCTCCTAGGCCTGGAATGCCCTGTCCCCAGACAGCCACGTTGCTCAGATGTCACCTCTAGATGAGACACCCTATTTACAAAAGCTACATCCTTCCAGCCCCTTCTTCTGCTCTATTTCTCCCAGGCACTTCCTATTTTCTAACAGATTATGTAACTTGCGGACTGTCTGTCTCCCTCCATTGAGCGCAGTGAGAGCAGGGGTTCAGCCTCTCAGCTGACTGCTTCGGCAAAATGCCTGCACGTAAGCAGCATGCAGTGAATGTTACAAGAGTGAACTGAATATTGCACTTAAGAAAGGAAGGTGGAGAACACTGAAGTGTGCTGCCATTACATTAAAAGGCAGATAAACTGTATTTCCTTGTATCAGTTTAGTGGATCGCTGGAAAGACTCCAGTGGGTCATACAGATGAGGACAATCCATTGGCTGGGGACCAAGGAGGGAAGGAGACATACTCTCATACTTTTGGGATTTTACTTTATGTGCACATATCATCTATTTGGTAAATAACTCAAATGAAGAGAAAAATTTGGAACTCAGAGAGTACAATAGCAGCCTCCATCTGGGCCCTTTTGGGTCAGCCCTGGATTTCAGGGTGCCTCGTGCCTTTCCCAGACACCTCCTCCTCTCTGTAATCATGGCTAAGGCAGGACTCTCGCTGCAGGACTGCATCTGATTGCCCTGCAGTGACAAGGGATGGACACCACCTCCCATTTCCTGACCTTCATCTGCACAGTTCTGAACCTAATGATGCCTGAATATCATAGGCTGGCTTCTAGAGCTCATGCTACAAAATTAATTTCCATAATTAATGGCTGTGTAAAGGCTGACCTGAGTCACGGAGCTTCTGTGAGCTAGTTTCTGTTTGCAGAGAGACAGGCGGGGCTCGATGGCCTCCAGAGGCGTTTGTGAGATGCTAATCACAGAAATGAGAAGGTAGCTTCGGAGAGAAGGACAAAGAAGGGAATGAGGGCACTGATGATGTTCTCATGGTGAATTCACAGGCACTTATTATATTTTTTGTCTCACAAGTGAACATATATGATACATAGAATGTCATGTGTATGTTTACAAAGATAAGAAAAAGGAGATTGAAAAACAGAAAATGGAAGGATGGTTTTTACAAAGAGACTCTGTAACCGAGCCCTGAGAGATGTAGAGTTCCCAGCTTTGAGAACCTACTTGATTCAGCTCCCTGATTTCACAGGGAAACGAAGGCTCACATGTTCCAAAGATTTGCCTAGAGAGTTAGAATTAGACCTGGAACCCAGATCTCCCAACTCCCAGCCTAGGGCTCTCCTCCACACCACCTTCATAAAGAAGCTTGGATGCTCTGGGTTAGAGACCTTCACGACTTGGTCCTTGGAAAGACAGCAGTAGGGGTGGGTCTCCATGGCACACAGATCGAGGCCAATTACCTTCGTTTCAGAGCTAAATGTGCTGGAGGTGGACACTTGCTGCCTTTGTCAGTGGGTTTCACTGCTAAGGGCCCAGGCCTTGGGTGAACTTCCCTGAGTTGCTTAGCTTCCCCCTGTGTCTCAGTTTACCCCACTGTAAAATGGACAATAATACTTCAAGGGTTTTTTGTGAGGATCACACAAGATGGTGGAAGTACTCTGATTATGAAGTTTGACTCAAACCCATTAGCCATGCCCTTCTACACTTACTGAAACCTCCTGATATATTCCTGGAACTGGTGGGGCTGGGGGCCAGATGGGGGCTGTGCTGTGGAGCAGGGGGATGGAACCTGGCCCGATGAGGGCTCCAGCCTCAGGGAAGTCTGCTGGGGGAAACAGGTAAGCAGAGAATCAGAAGACGGAAGCACACACTGGGGTAACTGAGCTCTAGGATCACTTGCTAATTTGGAGTTGGGGAGACGCTGGGCTTCCTGGGGAAGGGTACGCCAAGCTGTGCCCTGAAGGACCAAGAGGTGGCTAGTGTCACTAGCAGCCCAGCTGCAGGAAAGAGTTAGCATTTGGGGGAGTCAGACTCCAGCATGGGTGGAGGAGGCCATCACCCAGGGCCTCCAGTGGCAGAGTCTGGACTCTGTCCTGAGACCAGCGGGGAGCCCTGGGAGGGCTTGGTGGAGGTGACGGCTCAGTCTGGCTTGCTTTCAAGAATAACTGCTCCGGCCAGCAGTGCGTTGAGCCCACTGCAGGGTCCGACCTGCGTCCTCAGGAGCCAGTCAGCTTGCTGAGGAAGGAGCCGAGGCTAGGGCTAAGCAGTCCTGGGATCAGGACTTTGTGATTCGGGGAAAGCTACTGAACCTCTTTGAGATGCTTGTCCGTAAAATAAGAGAATGCAACACCTCCCAGGCTTACGCTGAGAATTAAAGGCGTGCCAAGTGCCCAGTACAGAGAAAGGCGCACATAATCTCTTGCCTTCCTTTCTGCACTACGAGCAAAGCTGAGCCCGCCCCTGCTCCCCGCCCAGTAACCCCTGAAAACACCAACCCGACTGAACAGCCGGCCCTGGCCTGGGGCTGTTCGCGCCTGCGCGGTGGGCGCCCGGCTGTGCGGAAAGCTGCCTGGAGGACGCAGCCCTGGGTCGCCTGGCAACCGGGTTGCCTGGCAACGGGCGAGTGCTACAGAAACTCACGCGCTGAGGCAGGTGAGCCGGCGGCCGCAGACTGGGGCCCCGGGGACAGGGGCTCCCCCAGACTCACTCCCCCAGGACCGATCAACAGGGCCCGTGCCCCTTAGAAGGCGGCAGGCGCCCAGCGTTTCCTGCCCGGGGAGCCCCGATCCCAAACGGCCCGGTCTCCTCTCCTCTCCCATCCCCACCTCCTCGCCTCCTTCCTTAATTACTGCTGCCCGGAATCGAGGATCCAGTTCACCACCTCTCTTAGTGGAGTGGATTCGCACAGGGTTAGGGTTAGGCTGGGGCTTATCACTGCCAACGAAACGCAGTCACAACCGCCATCAGCAGAATAGTAAGGGCAGCCAGAGTATCCCGCGCCCTGGTGAGCTGTTCTCCATTCTCGGGGAATGTGCCAGCTCTGGCCGGGGGGTGGTGGTGGTGTTGGGATGGAGGACATTGTCGTCTCCCTTTCGAGCTGCTTGTTAAGGGCCATCCATTGGCTTGGGTCTGGAGCCCATTTTTAACTACTCAGCCACACTGGTTACAGTTGTTCCAAGTGTGTGTGTAATAAAAAATAAATCACACTTTAACCTCGATTCCTTCTCTGTGGATGTGCTGGAGGCATCCGACTGTGGGTCCCTGATGGGTGAATGCCCCAGGCCTGGATTAGAACATTGGCTCCTAGCCTAACTCATGGCCTCCAAGGCTCCTTGTCCTGAAGCCTCAATTTTCTCCCGGGTCATAGAACCCCCCGCCTCCTCCTGGGGTAGCTGAGTTGCATATTAGGTATTGCTGGCACAAGATAAGCTCTAAATGGAGCTGTTCTATCAGTGTTTGCTTGTTTGTCTTTTTCTTTTTTTAAATTCATTTTCATTGGAGCATACTCGATTTGCAACGCTGTACTCGTTTCTGCAAAGTGAATCAGTTACACACGTACCCACTTTTTTTAGTTTCTTTTCTCATATAGGTCATTTCAGAGTATTGAGTAAACTTCCCTGTGCTGAAGTCCTCATTAGTTATGTTTTATACATAGTGGTGCATATACATCAGTCCCAATCTCCCAATTTATCCACTGCCCCCCCCGACCAGTTTGCTTTTTTCAATGCCTTTGTCCTGCGGCCCAGTCTATACAGTAATCGGGAGAACTCTGGCATTTGTGGTCTGGGCTGCCAGTCACCTTCGCTGTGACCTTGAACCAACTCCTTCACTGCTCCTGGTCTCAGTTTGCTCATCTGTAAAATGGAAGTTAAAAAATGCCAGGCCACAGTAGCAATGATGACGACGTCTGGGTTCTTTTAACCAGCGGTCCCCTCCGAGCTTTGCTCTGAAAGCTTGCGAGTCACCCCGAGCAGGTGTGGGACGATGGCGGACGCCAGGATCTCCACGTACCTGCCCCCCAACGTCAACCCCGCCCAGGCGGCCATCGCCTACGGCTGCCGCGCGCTGCCCAAGCTGAACGAGGAGCTGCAGGCGGACGACCTGCTGACGAGGCAGAAAGCCCTCATGGCTCTCTGTGACCTCATGCACGACCCCGAGCACGTCTACACGGCCATTAGGATCGGTGAGCATGTCGCAGCCCAAGGGACCACGACTGGGGTCTGGATGGACGGACGCAGAGCAGCCGGAGGTGGGGGGTGGGGAGGGGAGCTGACCTGGCCCCTTCACAGCAGCCCTCCCGACCACTCAGTCGGTCCTCAGCTGGACGCCACCAGTGGTCAGCCCCTCTTGCCAGGATTCAGCCCAGTGGCCACACATTCTCCAACGAGGCCTGTCTATCTGTCTCATTCACAAGGCTGTCAGAGAAGCTAGGCGCTAGCCCTACTGAAACCACACGGAGGTGAGGACCTCTGTCCGTTTTCTCCTAAGTTCCTAATTACCCATATATAGGGGGCTTCCCTGGAGGCTCAGTGGTAAAGAATCTGCCTGCCAATGCAGGAGATGTGGGTTTGATCCCTGGAGGAAATAGCAAGCCACTCAGTGTTCTTGCCTGGGAAATCCCATGGACAGAGAAGCCTGGTTGGCAGCAGTCCATGGGGTTGCAAAGAGCTGGACCCCACTTAGTGATGAAACAACAATTACCCACATAAGAGCTGAGTTGACATGAGTGGCCTGGTCGCACCTACTCCAGATCAGGTCCACAGTGACTGATCTGCTGCTTCTCCCACTGGCCTTACTTATCGGAAGTGATGGTTTAATCCCAGAGGCGTCAGCAGTGGTCCCGACCTGGCCTCAGAGGCTGGGTGGAGCTTCGCTAATAAAGGTTGCTATTTAATGAGCCCGACTCCGGGCCGGAACCACAATGAGTGCTTGCATGCCTGGGTTTATCTCTGTCCTCGTGGCACTGGCCCGGCGAGGGAAGGAGCCTCCTCCACCCAACAGAGAAGAAACAAAGTCTCAGCAAGAAGGACTGTGAGGCTAGCAGGGCCCCACAAAAAGGCAGGATTTCTAGATGCTCGATCTGGCGTGTCACGATGTAAGGGTACACAACAGCTGATGACAAGGTTGGAATTTGACTTCCGGTCTCTCCAAATAAAAGGGGTATTTTTGAACTCCGTGGAGGACCGGGAGGGGTGGCACCAGCAGGGGCATGCACAGAAATCAGTGTGGGGGGGGGGTGTGTGGAGACAGGGTCCCTGGGGTCAGCCTTTCTGGCACCCAGAGCCCCCAACAGTGACCCTGAAGCATCCGCCACGCACAGCATCCCCACGCCCGCAAACAGCGGAGCCCTGGTGCTCTTGACCCCGACATTGGCATATCTGTCAACTTCCGGATCAGCTAGTTCCTGATCCTGGAGGACACTCATCAGTCCCTCTGCCCCGCAGGCTGCCTGGAGAGCCTGAAAGCCTTGCTAAGGGACACCAACGACCTGGTGCGCATCAAGACCACCGAGGTGCTGTACATCATGGCCACCCACAACGTGGGCAGGTGAGCCCTCGAGCCCCGGGTCCCTGCCCAAGCTGAACCTGCCGCCCTCTTGGATCCACATGAGGCGAGCAGATGAGTGCGGGGTCCCTGGCCTCCAGTCGCCGTGGGGAGTTACAGCTTACGGAGCTGACTTACCGTCGGGGAGACTCGGGGTGGGCGCCCAGGCGCTGAGAGAAGAGACCTGGACACCTCACTTGGGGCTCAGGGAAGGGCCCGCCACGTGGGGGCCCCCCGTGACCTCCTTCTCCCAGAACGAGGCTGACCTCAGGCAGGGCATAGCTGGGCACTTCCTGTGTGCCAGCCCCGGGCCAGGCCTCACACCGAGTTCTCTCTTAGGCCCGAACGCAGCCTGGAAGCCCTAACCAGACGTGATTTGGGCCCAGCAGTTACGCGGTTAATCAGATGGAATGGTTAAAAAGCCAGAAGGGGGAAAAAGCCAGGAAAGAGGGACTTGGTGGCCCAGCGTTTCGGCCTTCACCTTCCAATGCAGTGGGCGCGGGTTAGATCCCTGGTCGGGCGGTTAAGACCCCACATGCCTTGTGTCCAAAACACGGAGACGTAAAGCACAACTCATATCGTAACAAATCCAACCAAGATTTTAAAAATGGTCCACATCAAAAAAAGAAAGCCAGGAAAGAAACTGTGCATTCCCTTTAGACACTTCCTCTTTACTTCTGCCACCGTGCGACTTGTGGGGTCTCCGTTCCCTGTAGCAGCAGTGTGTGTGAGCTCCACTGTGTCCGACTCTTTGTGACCCCGTGGACGGTAGCCCACCAGGCTCCTCGGCCCATGAGATTTCCCAGGCAAGAACACTGGGCTGGGTTGCCGTTTCCTACTCCAAGGGGTCTTCCTGACCCAGGGATCGAGCCTGCGTCTCCTGCGTCTCCTGGCAGGTGGGTTCGTTACTACTGAGCCGCCTGGGAAGCCCAGCCACCACGGATCAAACCTGCGCCGTCGGCAGTGAAAGCTCGGTGTCCCGACCACTGGACCATCAGGGAATTTCCAGACAGTTCATCTTAAGCCCAAACCCCTAAACGATTAGGCAGCCGCCAACCCCTGTGCCCAGCAGACCATGTTTCCCGTCATCTCTTCTGCTTAAACCATGCCTGGAACATCATGAATCAGTAGCTTCGCTTCTTTAAAGTTGAGCGAGAAATCAGACGTTAATGAGGTAATCTGCAGACAAGACCCTTCTAGAATCTTTACAGTTATCTCCCAACTGTTTCAGATGCTCATTTTTAAGTCTTTCCAAAGCATTCAACTTTGTTTTCATAAGGAAATTAAAAAAAAAAAAAAACCACCCAGAAACTAACAACTCTTCTCATCGAATTGGCTTACATGCATGCTGAGCTGCTTCAGTCATGTCTGACTCTTTGCGACCCCATGGACTGTAGCCCACAGGCTCCTCTGTTCATGGGGATTCTCCAGGCAAGACTCCTGGAGTGGGGTGCCATGCCCTCCTCCAGGGGAATCTCCCCATCTTCCCCACTGAGTCACCTCCTGTGACTCCTGCATTGCAGGTGGGTTCCTTGCTCCTGAGCTGCTGGGGAAGCTCTTGAATGGGCTTACCTGATAGTTAATGAACGTGTGTCATTATAACAACAAGCACAACAGGCTTACCTGGGTTTGGAGGGACGGGCCTGCCCTGGACGGAGCACAGGTGTGTGTCCGGCAGGTGGAGAGAGGCTTGGTCAGCCCAGCCCGGCACTCAGGGAGGTCGGCCTCTGTCGCCCAGAGTCGTCCACCGCCACTCAGGCACAACCGATTCCAGGGCTCCCGCAGACTCGGCCTTCTCCCCAGAGGCTGCATGGATGCAGTCTGTCCCAGCCGCCAGGGCTCAGGCTCCAGGGGGCGGAGGGCGGGCAGACCCCCTGCCTCTAGGTTCTTATTGGACCCTCTCCTGGCACAGCCTTCAGTTCAGTTCAGTTGAGTCGCTCAGTCGTGTCCGACTCTGTGACCCCATGAACCGCAGCACGCCAGGCCTCCCTGTCCATCACCAACTCCCAGAGTCTACCCAAACCCATGTCCATTGAGTTGGTGATGCCATCCAACCATCTCATTCTCTGTCGTCCCCTTCTCCTCCTGCCCTCAATCTTTCCCAGCATCAGGGTCTTTTCAAATGAGTCAGCTCTTTGCATCAGGTGGCCAAAGTATCGGAGCTTCAGCTTCAGCTTCAGTCCTTCCAATGAACACCCAGGGCTGATCTCCCTTAGGATGGACTGGTTGGATCTCCTTGCAGTCCAAGGCACTCTCAAGAGTCTCCAACACCACAGTTCAGAAGCATCAGTTCTTCAGCGCTCAGCTTTCTTCGCAGTCCAACTCTCACATCCATACATGACCACTGGAAAAACCATAGCCTTGACTAGCAGACCTTTGTTGGCAAAGTGATGTCTCTGTTTTTTAACAAGCTGTCTAAGTTGGTCGTAACTTTTCTTCCAAGGAGCAAGCGGCTGTTGATCCCATGCCTCGGCCGTGTCTAAATCTGACTTTTCCTCCCCAGAGAGGGCTTCCTGCAGCACAGTGTCATCCAAGCGCTGTCCTTCCTGATGAGCGACCCCCGCTCGGCCTGCCGGGAGAACCTCTACGCGGCTCTCAGGCACCTGGCCCAGGTGCCGGCAGGTAGGCTCGGCATGGGCCCGCGGGCGGCCCGGGCGCCCTTCTCCCCGACGGGCGCCTGCTGTGCCAACGACAGTTTAGAGCACGTCATGCTTTTATTGAGACACAACATACCCATTAAGTGGGATTTCCCTGGTGGCTCAGATGGTAAAGCGTCTGCCTGCAATGTAGGAGACCCAGGTTCAATCCCTGGGTCAGGAAGATCCCCGGAGGAGGGAATGGCTGCCCACGCCAGCATCCTGGCCTGGAGTAAGTGAGCACACAGTCTGCAATATTTTGTCTCCGGCTTCTTTGTCTCTGTCGTGTGGTCGTGTATGACTGGTTTTTGCCAGTTTGCGCCGCAGTGTGGTATGCACACTATGCAAGGAGACTACCATTTATTCATCCCATCTGCTGCCCGCGTGGATTTCTGTTGAGAATGTATGAATTGTTTCTGGTGTGTGGCAGCCGAGAATACAGCAGCCAGTAAGTCTTACACAAGCGCTCTATGGCCTCCTGCAAAGTTTTCTGAAATTCCCAAGCACTAGGCCCACCCGGAGAGCAGGGAGGCCAGAGTTTCACCCTTTATCTCAGGATTTCCTGGGCGCTGCTCATCCTCTGTGACCTGCCCAGAGGGAGGCCTGGGACACTCTGGGGAGGGGTTGGCAGCAGGCGGTGGGTGGGCAGCTTGATGGAGAGAGGAAGGAGGGACATGGCACGTGGCGGGAGCCCCGGGAGGACCACCTGAGGTGCCCTGAGCGCAGAGGCTCCTGCGCCGGCCCGGGGGGGCTGTGTCCCGGGAGGTGTCCTCGCTGGGGCCAGTGGGTGGAGGGGGATCTGAGCGGCGAGAGCTGCTGTTTCTGGTACCCCTCCTCCCCGCAGTGGCCGGTAGGCGGCGCCGCAGGACCGGCCGCCGCCGCGCGGGGCGGCTCCGCTTTGCCGGCCGAGTGACCGGCCGGCCGCCCCCCGCCCCCCCCACGTGTGGACACAGCCCCGGAAGCGCTCCCGCCCCTCGGGCCCTCTCCTCTGATGGGGGTCCCGAGCGCTGGGCGCCGCGGGGCTGCAGGCAGGCGCCCTCCGGGCCCAGGGGGTGGGGACGCGGTGGCGGGCTTTCCTGGAGTCCCTGCTTGGGGCCGGACAGCGATGAGGCTCTGTGTCCAGGGGAGCGCGGGGGTAGGGTGGGCGGGCGTCCTCAGCGCGACAGCTCGGGGGCAGCACACGCGGCCCGCGCCCCCCACCCCCTGTCCCCGGACTCAGCTGCCGCCCCAGGGGCACAGGGGACCCTCTCCCGCTCAGGGCGGCCCTCCTTCAGCCCCAGTCCCCACATTGCTAAGTGTGGGCCTCTCGGCCCTGCAGCTCAGCACGTGCCTTCCCGGAAGGAGGCGGCTCCATCCTCGCAAGCGCCCCGGCCCGAAGCCCCAGCTCCATCTGCCCCGCAGAGAGGACTTCCGAGGCCCCGGGAGGTGGGGGGGTGGATGTTGGGCCCCTGAAGATCAGTGGGTCATGGACCCCCTCAGCAGGGGACTCAGCTGGTCAGAGGAGGAACTGAGCAGATAAAAGGCGGAGGGCGGGGGCGGGGAGTGGGCCAGGGGCACTGTCGCAGGGAATCCTCTCCCCTCCTTGAAGCATCAGGGCAGGAGGCAGACGCCTCCTGTTTCCCTCCAGTTGTGTGCTTTTAGTTAAAGATGCTCACAGTGAGGTGGGTCACGGCTCTTATCCCAGCTGGCATGAAAGCACAGAATAAGCCTCAAAGAGTTTAACTCACAGGTTCTTCTCATGCAAAAGCCCTCCCCGGGGGGTTTCCGCTGCTGGGGGATGAGCAGGGGGCCACGTGGGCAGACCCAGGGCTGAGTGCCGTGCAGCTACTTACACGTGCGCGGTGTCTGCATCCCTCCCTCTGGGCTTCGGGCGGGTCCTGGCTTTGAGATGGCGCTCCGGTGGCTCCGTGCCCCCCACCCCCGGGCTCCCACCACGGCCGTTCAGGTGCAGAGCTGAGCGAAGACCCGGGCCTCGGGAGGCACTGGCCCCCGGCTCCCGCTCTGCTCCTCCTGGAGGGGATGGCTCCGCCGCCCCCGGCCCGACCTTGGGCACGTTCCAGTCCTCCGTCAAATGGGTCACCACTGACCCCGGAGGACCCCGTGCAGTGAAGACGGACTTCCCCGAGGAGCGTTTCCCGCCCTCAGCGATGCGATGCTGCTCCCCACCCCGGCAAGCCGCCGGCGCTGGGCTGGGGACCCTGCTCCCCCCGCCGGCCTGCCCTACAGGGATGACTCTGACCCAGCGCGGCGTCTTCAGGGCAGAGGGGGCCCAGGTGACTGAGCAGCTTGGGCTGGAGCCCCTGTCGTCCCGGGACACGCGGGCGGGCGGGCGGCCTCCGTCTCTGTGGGCTTGTTGGTTCTTGACGTTCACCTCCAGACGGTTTTTCTAAAGGCGTGCAGGAAGCGGGCAGAGAAAAGGGACCTGGGCACAGTCGCCGTCCCCCCCCCCCCAGCGACCCCCCGGCCCCGCGCCGCACACAGAGCACTCGGGACGAGGCCTGGCTCATTCAGGGTGTTTTATTTTCATAAAGGAGACGATCTCGGACTTCCGCGCCATCCCCCGGCTCCTCACTCCCCTCTCAACGACGTCCCTCGAGAGTCCTCAGCTGTGACTCTGGGCACCGACCTCTGACTCAGGGTCCCGGATGAGGGCCCAGAGGGGGTCTGCCCGGCTAGGGCTCTGCGGGCAGGAAGGGCCCCCCTCAGGCGGCCGAGCCTTCACAGGAGGCGCGGCTGCCCCTCTGGCCTCCCGTCCCTTCACATGTGGAGGAGCCGCAGGTCGTGTAGTTTTAAACCCCGAGACGCCAAGCGACCGTTCATCCGCTCCCGCGGTGAAGGGCCTTCTGTGAACACGGCACGTTTGTTTTCTAAAAGAAAAATGAAGCGGAGGCCGCACCAGGGACAAGGGGACGCTGCACGGGCCTGTGTACAACGCGGCCCCCAGGCTGCCGCCGGGCAGACGGACAGACGCACCAGTGACAACTCTGACACTCAGCAAGCCAAGACGCGAGAAGGCCCACCCGGGGGTGGGGGGAGAAAAAATAGGTTTTCAAAATCTGCGTTTAAAAAAGAAGACTCAACTGCATTGGAAATTTTCTGTATCTCTGCGAAACACCACGAGATTTGGCCCCCCCCCAAAAAAAGGATATCAGAGGAGAAAAACCAGAGTTTGGTTTTATAAAACGTCCGACTCATGGGAGAACAGCTGGAGCCCAGCGGGGCCGGGTCCAGACCAGCCGAGCACGCAGGTCATGGTGCGGCTCTGCTGTGTTTCCCCAGGCGTGTTAAAAAGGGCGGCGAGTGGCCGGGGGGCTGGTCAGTGCTGTGGCCGGCCTGGTGCCCGTGTGTGCCCAGGGGGGTGGCACGGCCCCGGCTCCAGGTTTCCTCCCGGGGAGCCGGCCACCCAGCCCCGCGGTCCCCCACGCAGAGCAGGGCCGCGTCGGGAAGGCAGAGTAACGTGACGGGAGGGTCTGGGGGTTGGGGGGCGGACTTGGCGACAGCTCCTCAAGACTTCACGGGGCCTCGGCCAGGGGGGGAGCCTGCCCGTCTGCAGAGAGAGAGAGAATGTGTGTGTGTGTGTGTGTGTGTGTGTGCACGCGCAAGTGTCTACCTACCTAGCAACCTATCCGTATACAGTCGTGTTTGCAGAGACGAGGGGGCCGACGGGGTGGGCTGGGGACACGCTCTGGCCCCCACCCCCATCTTCTGCCCACCCCGGGCTGGTTCCCCCCGTCTCACCGCAGCCCCGCCGGCCCCCTCAGCAGAGGCCGATGTACTTGAGGTTGTTCTGGATGATGACGTCAGTCACGGCGTCGAACACGAACTGGATGTTACTGGTGTCAGTGGCGCAGGTGAAGTGTGAGTAGATCTCCTTGGTTTCCTTGTTGCGGTTCAGGTCCTCAAACTGCCGCTGGATGTAGACGGCGGCCTCCTCGTAGGTGTTCTGGCCGCTGTACTCGGGGAAGCACACGGTGAGTGGGATGCGGCGGATCTTCTGCGCCAGCAGGTCCTTCTTGTTGAGGAAGAGGATGAGCGACGTGCTCACGAACCAGTTGTTGTTGCAGATGGAGTCGAAGAGACGCAGGCTCTCGGCCATCCGGCTCTGTGGGGGGGGGGCAGGGGGGTGGTCAGCACAGCTGGGCCCCAGCAGGCCCCATGCCCCGCACAGCCCCCCAGGGGTCACTGACCACACGTGCCTTCAGGGCTGCCGGCCAGGGACCCCCCTCCCCCCGGCTGCAGGCCAGCGCCCAGCTCCCAGGGAGGACCGTCCTTGCTCCACCCCTCTGCAGCCAGCACGTGGTCAGCCCCACCTGCTGGGGGTGGGCCGGCCGGGAGCCTCCATCCCGCCAGGCATCAGGCCTCACGGGAGTCCGTGACTTGCAGGGAGACCTGTGTTCCCAAAAGCAAGGCTCCAGGGCAAAGCTTGGCCAGCCCAACTCAGCTGGGGCCACACACAGGACCCCCCCCACTGCCCCCCCAGGAGGTGAGGACGGCCCCCAGGAGGCCCAGTGACCGCAGAGTGGCCCCGGCGGTCCCTTCCACCTCCCCAAGAGGACCAAGGATACGCCATGCAGCCTGCGGGCTCTCGAGGAGCCCAGGGCCCTCACGTGCTCCCCCCCGCCCCCACAACTGATCACCTTGCTTCTAAGGGACACCAGCGGGTGGTGAGCTGCCCTGTGTTTTAAGATGAACGAGAAGAGTGTCCCAAGGGCGGGGCCAGTCTAGAGCTGAGATGTCAGATGAAGGACTGTTCTGAGCATGCGGCAATAAACAGGGAAGCTGCAGCTGCTGCTGACAGTGGGCACCTGCTCCACCCTCGACCTTATTGTCCCCATTCTGCAGATGAAGAAACCGAGGACTGGAGGGCCCAGAAATGTGCTCCCAGCCCCTTGGCCAGGAGCATGAGGCTTGCAGACCCTCCGGGGCAGACGCGCAGTGCTGCTGGCCCCAGGGTGGGGAGCCCGGGGGCGCCCGCGAAGCCCGCGTCTCTCAGAGGCCTGGCCCTCTCGGAAGTACAGGGTTTGATGGCTTCGGGGCTAGAAGATCGCCCCCCATTGCTGAGACACAGCCTCCAGGCCCTGCACTACACCTCGGAGGGCTGGTCTCCCAAACCCTTCCTGTGCCTTCGTTAGAAAGAGCCTGGTCTCAGGGCTTCGCAGGGGTGTGTGTTGGGGGATGATCATGTGTGTTGGGGGGTGATCATGCGTGTTGGGGGGTGATCGTGTGTGTCTGTATGTGTGTATTGGGGGGTGATCATGTGTGTGTATGTGTTGGCGGGGGTGATCCTCCTGCAGACAGAAGCAGGATGCTGGCCCCCAGCCATGTCTGAGAGCAGGATGAAGTCCCACTTGCCGTAACTGGTGGTCCAGGAACACCGCCTGCCACTGGGTGGTAATGAGTGCTAATGGGCTCCTGGAAGCCGCGTGGAAAGGACTAGCGGCAGAGCTGTCATTTCACGGGAGTGATGTCTTAATCAGGGTGCTCCCGACCCCAGATTTCACACATAAGATGAGTGACAGACGCAGCCGTGAGCACGTATTCACTAACTGCGGAGCAGGTCTCAGGTTTCGGGTGGGTGCCGGAGCCCAGAGCCCAGAGGCCGAGTGGCGGGGGTGGGGTCCTGCGTGTGGCGGGGTTCCAGGGTGGGTGGGCCAGCGCGGGGCGGGGGATGGCAGGTGTTAGGATATCCGGACATATGGGCACTGCTGGATCACTGGGCGGGGAGCCAGGCAGCTCCTGCGGCCAGCCCGGCGGCCCCTGTCGAAACGGCGCTCGCCTGCCGAGGGGTCACGCGGGGCTCTGCCGGTCTGCCCTGCAGGGGTGGTGGGGTGGAACCCCGTCGGCACGAGTGCAGTCTGACTGGCCCTGGGCAGGAGGGAACAGGGGTGGGGCCCGCCCACCCCGCCCACCCCCACAGGGACGTTACCAGCTCACGTCGTCTCTGGCCTCTGGTGGGGTAGGCGGGGGGCCCCCAGCACCTACTCCCACCCCGATAGCCCCTCCAGGGGCCCCCGGAAACCCCAGGCTGTCAGCATCTCAGCACCCTGTGCCACTTGAGCCAGCTTCCCTCACGCCTCCCCTGCCTCCTCGGGCAGCCAGAACCCCACTCTGCCAGCCTCCGGCTGTGTGTCGGGCCTGCTGCCCGCCCGCCCCCTGGGGAAAGGGGGCTCTGTCAGCTGTCCTCCTCCAGGGGCTGGGGGTGGAACGGGCCCCCGGTGGGAAGCCGAGAGGCCCCACGCCAGGCACCAGGGCCCGTAGCAGCCAACACACGCTGACTTAGAGACGCAAAGCCAGGTGTCCTGGGGCTGGGGGCACCCTGCAAGGCCAGGACGGGGCGGCGGGCAGCCCGAGGGGACGCTGCGGCAGGGTGCGGCCCGGACACTCACTCGGCTCCGTGGGGCCCAGAGTGCGGCCCAGCACGAGGCCTTGGTCCAGGAAGGCCCCGGTCTGCCTGCTGCAGGACCAGCCTGGGGTGTTTGTTCTCGGGAGCTGTGAATCCTGCCTCTCAGGCAGGGAGGCTGGGCTGCGGGCGTGAATGAGCTCCGTTCACCACAGTGCCAGGCTCTGCGGGCGCCGAGGGTGGGGGCCGGGCGGCGGGGACGCCTGGCGGCACCTGGCTCACTGGGCCGAGTGGGGAGGGTCCATCGGGGCTGGATGCCGCGGCGGTGCCACATAAACAAGAGCCGTGGAGTCTGTGCCCAGCCGTGGGGGGCGGCCCGCGGACTGTGACGGCGCCGCAGGCCCGTCGGGGGGGCCAGCTTCAGTGTGGCACTGACTGCCCCCTCCTCCACGGCCGGGAAGGCGTCAGCTGCCGCCCAGCCCTGTGCCCTGGGTGGGAGGAGCCCCCAGGACCTCCCTGGCCCACCCTGAGCCCTGCTGGGCGGGTCTCCTCCGCTGAGGACAGGGCGAGTGGACCCCAGCCTCACACCCCATCTGTCCCGAGGTCCCAGCAGCTGCGCAGACACGCTTGCCGCCCGAGTGGGGGCTGTGGCCTGTGGCTGAGAGAGGGCGGTGTTGTCTTCATGCAAAGCTGCAGAGAAGTCTAGTATAGCCTGGGGATGCCGGGGGGCCCTGCTGGGAGGCTGCTGGGGGGGGGCCAGGCAGAGGCTGCACTTGGGGCGCCCCTGGCCCTGGGCTCCATGGGAAAGGGACCGGGCCCGGATCACAGGCTGCCCAGTGGTATGAAGCTCCAAGGTCTGCCCTACCCATCCCCCGCCCGCCCCCAGCATCCACTAAAGGTCCTCATCGTCCGCCATGCCTTTCCCTTTGGGCTCCAGCTTGTCGTGAGTCAGGGGTGGGGTGCAGGGCCGGCTTGTGGCTACAGCCTTCGGGCTGAGGGGCGCAGGCAGGAGGGCCCCCTGGGGACAGGGAGGAGGCGGCTAGAGGCAGAAGCTGGATGCCTGGGGCGGCAACTCAGACCTCTGCTCCCAGGCGGATCGTGAGGGTGGACAAGGGCGAGTCCCCCGGACGGCAGGGCCCGTGAGCCTGGCTCACCCCAGCCAGCGTGCAGTCACCACCACCCAGTGCAGACACGGGGGCAGGCATGGTCCCAGTTGGACTGTCCACAGGGGGGCTGGGAACGCCCACGGCCCCTCGGGCCCTTCCCACTACCAAGTCTGTGCCACCAGGGCGCCTGAGTGCAGTCCTACCGTTTCCACGGCAACTGGGGAGGCAGCCTCAACCCACAGCGTCCCAGACCCAGACCCTCGGGCTGGGCCAGGCAGCACCATCCACTGCTGGCTACGTGCTGCAGCGGGGGAGGGCCGCTGGGGGTTCGGCAGACCTCATGGCCCCCAGGGGTGGGGCATGGGGCAGGGAAGGGGGTGGTCCTTCTGGGGACCTGCTGCTGGCGGGTGGGCGTCCTGGGGGCGGGGCGGTGACCGCAGGGCGCCCTGTGGCCATGTCTGCCTGGATGGCCACCCCGCAGGCTCTGGGCCTCCTCCGAGTCCGACGTGTACATCACGTGGGCTGAGGACCCCTCGGCCCCAGGAAGAGCCTCTCATGGCCGGAGCCACCTGCGGTCCCCACCGGCCCCCCCGCCAAACCCTGCTCCCAGCGGCCTTGGGAAGAGGGCAGGCGACTGGGGAAAAGAGCTGGACGTCTGGGGTCACATCCAGACCAATCGAGTCAGCGATGCCTACTTCCTCCTCTCGTGGGGCCGGGCGCTGGCTGCCCTGGACCCAGGACTGGGTTAGTGAGGCTGATGGGCACGGAAGCCCCGTGCTGCCAGGGGCTGATCTGTGGGGACGGCCTGGAGCTGCAGTCAGCACGGGGGCAGCGGGGCCGCCCACCGCTTCTCCTTCTGCCCTGGCCCTCGACCCCTTGCCCCCCCCCGGGCCAAGACGGACGGGTGCGGTCCTGCCCAGGGTCAGTGCTGTGGCCCCAGGACCCAACTCCACGACTCCATGTGCCCCCCGTCGGGGCCCTGACCTTCCCCCAGTGCCCGCTGCCCCCTGCAGACAGGCAGCCCTGGTTTGGGTCAGGGATCAGGGGTCAAAGTGGGGATCAGTGAGCAGCACTGGGATTAACACTCAGGGTGGGGGTGCGTCTCATCCTCGCCTCCCGCGTACTCATGGCCCTTGGACCCCAGCCCCAAGGACCAGAAGGGGGCTCAGCAAAGGGCCCAGCCTCCCCCCCCCAGGGGCTGGGCCCCACAGCCCTGGGGCCATCGACAGATGGGGCTTTGTGGGGGGCGGGGGGTGTTGTGTTCTGGAGGCCCGTTCCCTGCCCGCCCTGCAGGGACAATTGTGAGGCTCGTGGTAACGGCGTGGCCAGGGCTGCCCCTTCAAACAGCAGCGCTGTTTAAACAAGATAACAGGCTGCAGGGAAGCTGTGCTCAGGCCCTAATGGCCTGAAAGCCACCCCAAACATGCCAGGAGCAGTGGAAGCTCAGCCTGGGGCAGCTCGCTGGACGCCCCCGCCGCCCCGCCAAGCACCCCCTCTCCAGGAGCAGGTCCCCAGTCCCCCACGGGGAGGCTCGGCGAGCCATCTGCATCAGGGCACTTAGAGGTCTGCACAAAGGCGCCCTGGTCCTCCCAGGGACCGCAGCCCAGGTCCCACCGTGGCGCCTCAGGACAGGCGTGCTCAACCCCCCACGGCCAC